TACACGACAACAGTGCTATATATAGCAGAACTACTGTCACTCTACCAGTGGTGCGAAAGGGGACAGATACACAGTATTTGCTGCAAGAAATCGGCACGCAAGGACCTCCTTTGCCACTGGGTATTGACATTCCGTAGGGTGCTGCGTCTGTATGCAAACATATCTTTGGAGAGCGAAGAACATGATATAATTTCATGCCAAGTTCTTCAGACCCAGAAGACCAGAAATATGTCTGGCATTAAGCCACCGAGCACACCTGACTCCTGCACGCAAGAAAACAGTAAGAAGTAGACCTGCCTGCAGTCGATGTATGGCTTTCAAAGATAGCAGGAGAGGAGGAGATTAATGCAGACCAGTAAGTTTTGGTAACTGGGCAGTAGCATCCTACATTTGCACCTGGAAAGTACTCATCCCATTCTGAAGTGACCACAGGCTGAGGAAGACATTTCCAGAACCAATTAATAGAAAAACAGCATAAGGGCTTCTGATTTTCTGGAACTTTGAAAATTTTCTCTAAATTAGTATGTATTACTTAATCCAAGAGACCATATAGATGTTAGCTACAAATAGGGATACTGTACACTATTTCTGTTTTAAGAAATATATTCTCTTTTTGAAGATCAGAAATTTTAGTGTTTGGGAGAAAGACAGGAGAAGGGAGAAGAAACTAGGAGAAACACACTGATAAGAACCACCATCTGAAAGATGGTCTTAACAACATATATGACCATCAAAAAAAAAAAAATCGTGTTATTGCAAGTACAGCTGAGAACTTTCTTTCCAATGCTCTACATATGAAACAGATCTACACACCAAGCAACACAGGTAAGAAAGCCTAGTGTAAGTAGCACTAAGGCCACACAATTACAAAATTTGTCTTTACTCCAATAACTTAATTTGTATGAAGAAAGCTAATATAATTTAGACACCCTGGGGAGCTCAATACAATAAACCATGCCAACTTCTTCTTCCATATATGCCAGACTATAATGCACACAACCTCTAAACTTCCCTTGGGCTTTTCTGTACAATCTTTTCTCAGCGTGACAAAGGCAAAAAGTCATAGTTTGTAAGGCCAGAAGAATGACAGTGATGATCCAGTCTTATTCCTGTGTAACTTCAGCCTTCCCTTAAGTAATTACTGCTTCAGATTCAATAGCTGTGCTTAAACTAGAAAATGTGTTGTAGAAAAACTATCCAGTTTTCTTTTAAAGGTGTCCAGTGGTGAAGAACACACCACAACATCAATGTTCTAGTAAATAATTATGAGGGCAGTTAAACTATGTGCCTTTTTACCTATCAAAATTTATTGAGGTTAGACTTCCAGCCATTTGATCTTCTTTTTATACAAGTCCACTAGACAGAAGAATTCTCTCTTACCCGTTTCCTGTTCTCTATGCGGGCACTGATGGACTATGATCAAATTACCCCATGAACTTTCTCTCTGGTAAACAAAATAAATTAAGCACTTCCAAGTCTTTCCCTGTAAGCCCTATTTTCTAATCTTTTAACCACTCCTGTGATAGTCCTGCAGTTTCAAACATTTTTCTTGAAGTGTGGATCCAGAACTGGACACACATTTCCCTGAGTGTCCACACCAAGCACAAGTTCTGAAATACTATACTCCACCCTCTCAGTCTTTACCTTATTTTACAGCTAAGGATCAGATTATTCTGCATTCTTGCAGTGCTGCTGTGGGAGGTCATTTTCATCCATTCATCTACCATGACTCATATGTTTTCTGCAGAGTCACTGCTTTCCAGATGAGCTCTCCTCTCCCAGAAACACCACAAGCATCCTCTGCTCTTAGAATTGCATTTCACCACAGTGGATACCCCAGTTTGCTTTGACTGACCCTACCAGCTAACCTGAACTGTGCTGCCTCAGCAACTTCTCTCTTCGTCACACACACTGCTCAAAAAAAGTCCTCTTAAATATGGACTACCAGTCACAATTTTTTTTTCTTCCAAATTATTTACAAAGAAAAAAATCTATGCATAGCTAAGAGCAGATAGATGAGCACATCTTCCATCATGAACACGTCAACAACTCAAGTGATGTTAAATTAATGAACTGTTAATAAGTGAAGTCATGGCTCTGCTGATAAATAGTTTAATGGAAAAAGAGATCTTCATCTTTTCCTCCTACCATTTATCACTGTGTAAATAAAGAGTCCTCTTGCTTAAGAGGTAAAGAGCTAGTAATTATTTTGGCTAATATAAGAAAAGTTCATTTCTGCCAAACTATGAGAACAGAAATCCCTCAATGCTTACTCCTTAAAGTTATCACTAAAACATCACGAGTTCAGTGGCTGCACGGCTTTTCAGCATAAGATTATAACTAATGCATATTGACTGTGATGGAGGAATCCTGATTCTTCAGCAAAGTCCTCTTACAGCACTTTAAACTAATTACCACCCTACATCTCTCAAACCTATTCCCTCCTCATGGTTAGCATTTCCACATTTGAAGTAAATGTGTCCACAGTTCATTTACCACAGCATGCAGGATGGCATGTTAGCTCAAACCACTGCCGTGGGTGGAACGCTGCTCAGAATGGTGTGTCTGCTCTGTGGGGTGACAACTACTAGTACTGTTAAAAAAAGCATTTTTGGGAAATGAGGATCCCACGGTATGCGTGTGCCCACTGCAGAATCAAGATTTAAATATGCTGCCTGTTCCCCATCATTCAACCCAGATTAAAAATAACGACAACACCACCACCACCACTCCCATGGTTTTGAAAACTTCCACACTGTGCTGGTTACAAGCATGATATTCATTTAAATACAGGACATTTAAATATGAACAGTTCTTGGAAAGCTTTTTTAAAGACTATAGGCATCTTAGTCAATACAAAAAATAGCAGTCTAAGTATTCAGTCTTGGGCCTGAACTTTTATGTCATGTCCCTTTGAAGGAGTAATGCAAAGAACAACCTTATTAAATCTACATGGGGTGTATCAAGTTGTAACTTGTTGTTTCTTTAATCAAAGAAAGGATTAAGTTCGAGGTACAGAAAGCAAAAGAAAGGATTCTACTCCCAATTAAATCAATGGCAAACTACCTGCCAGCTTCAGTGGGGGAAGATCAGAGGTGAAAGGAATCTATTTTCTGAGTTAAGTTCACATTTCAGCCATGGAAAGAAAGATTTCGTGGAAACTGTATACAATTACTGCTCTTTAAACTTCAATGACTTACCAAAACAATAATGCCATGTTTAATTCCCTTCCCTCAAAATCATTATTTAAGAAAAAGCAACAAGCAAAAACCCTAACCAAACAAACTCCAGGCCATGGAAAAGTAGGTTGGATTCAAAAGATCTACAGTATGAGTCAGAAAGATATGAGACGCAAGGCAAGAAAAGGTTCAGGCAAGAAAAGGTTATTGCTCGTTTTAATCATGTATGATTGAGTCTTAAAGAAGTACATGAAGTATGCCGTGGAAGCTGCACTTCACCTTATTTAGACAGAAAAAAACATGAGGGAAATTTCTAAACAGAGCCACAGAACGATTATGGTTGGAAGGAACCTCTGGAGGTCCCCTGCTTCAAACAAGCAGGGGGGTGTCCAGTTGAGTTTTGAGTATCTGTAAGGATGGAGATTTCACAACCTTTCTGGGCAACCTGTTCCAATCTTTAACAACTGCTGCTGTAAAGAATTGTTGCTCTTTATTTATTTGAAAGTCTCCTTGCTACAACTCATTTCAGTTGCTTCTTATCCTTTCACTGTGCATCTAAGAGCCTGGCTTAGTCTTTGCTATAGCTCCATTAAGTAGCTGGAAAACGTGACAGAATACAGTAGAGGAAATGTGGAACTCAGTCTATCTTATCTGAAGCAAGCAAATGCAGATAAGTAAACAGCATGTTGAAATGCCTAAAGCATAATTCTGGGTTTGAAGAGATTCAAGTTCCTTTCCCCATCTGAAAAATACATTTGCTGCTTGACCTTGCGGCAAGCCACATAGTCCCTCTGGCTATGTTGATATTAATAAATAAAAATGGAGCCAATGCATGGGATTGAACACTGCCCTGTGATCATTTATACTATTTAAATATTAGTGCACTTAAAGCCTGACATGGCTTTGGACTGGGCTAATTATCAAATCTGAAGTGATATTTAGGTGTGATTTGGGTATAATACAAGCCTGGGACCATTCTCAAACTACTTGGACCCTAATTTTGGCTGGGGATTAGAGGAAAGGCAGGTGAAAACTGGGGATGTGACCTTTATCTAGATCTTACATCTCAGTGTCTGAAAGCCACCCTCTATCTGTTCTGTCTAGCAGTACACTAATAGTCTGCATGACTCAGTTTCCCCTCCTGTACAACTGATGTAATATCTCCTACTTCCCATAAAATTTTGATGCATTCTGATAAAAACTAACATGTAAATATTATTGTTATATTTCTTTGCCTGCGGGAAGAAACAAACCATACTAAGTTAGAAAAAAATCCTTACATCTGGATAACATAACTGTGTATTAAAATTGTCCCATGGACATGGCCAAGAAACGAAAGGCCAGGACTTTTTTTGTACACTACAGCCTATGGTGCAACAGTTGTTGCTGCACCTTGGGAGAGAAACGAATGAGTACCTCACAGCTGCTGAAACAAAGCATTTGGAAACAGAGTTCCCATAAAGAAAAAGATCTGGAATAGATTTGTATTTTCTGTGGAGCTGTAAGAGCACCAACGGTTGTTTGAAAACTGACATAGCACTGTGTCAAGGACAGCCAGAAGGAAAGCAAATCCCCACACAGCCCTGATGCCACAATTTAACTGAGGAAGAAATCTTGCTTTTTTTTGAAATGCACAGATGTTCTTCCTCCCACCCAGGATCGCAAGCATTAAAACACATCATACAAAACTGTGTAACTTCCTTTAGATGCAAAATCTTACCTCAGAACAAAAATAAAGATCTCTTACCAGGCAATCTTACAGGTTTCCATGGTGCAGAATTTGGCACATATGCATGTTTACTAGCAGTCACTATCAGCTGATTGCCCAACTTATACTGAAACTTGAGGAAGGCAGTGCCATCTGCTCCTGAGGTTCCAGATGCAATGGAGATCTGGTTGGTAAAAATCTCAATGAAGGCTTCAGTTACTGGCTGATGTGTGCTGGCATCGCTTACATGGACCTTCAGCGTTACTTCTGTAATGACAAACAACCACAGCAATTATCGTCCAAAAAGCTTCCGCAGGAGGCAGCAATTAGAACATGCTAGCACACCAACGACCAAAAAGACACGGGGCTCAATGCTAACCTCTGACACTCTGGTGCAAGGTATGACCTCTTGTCCTGGCCTGCACTTCTCCATTTTGGGCAGTCACTCTTTAGAGACGCTGCAGACTCTGCCACAGGCCAGACCAGGTCCTGAATTACTGCCCTACTGCTAACTCCAGCTGTGGAGGCATCTATATTCCACCTAAGATGCACATGCAGCTGGGCAGCCCATCACCAGGGCAGGCAATATTCCCTTCGATGGGCAATGTGTCAATCTCACAGTAGCATCATAATTCTAAATGCACGTGCTGTCAAACATCACGTATTAGTCGCGGATGGCATAGCATCGTAACTCTCTGTAAGGTCCCTGCCTTGCTGTGCCTCTGCTCCAGCCAGCCTCCTCCACCAGCAGCGGGGAGAGGGAAAGGCTAGAAGTGGGCTGTGCTCCTTCACCCCTTCCCCAAAACACTTCTCTCTCTCTCTGTAGCAAAGGAAGAAAGGAAATCTGCTGTGATGGAAGCCCAGAAAAAAGTGGGCAACGGAGCGGGCTATGTTACAGTCGGAGATTTTGAACCCCAGTGGGAGAGACTATCCCAGCAGGCATAGGACTTCCCTGGTGGTGTCTAACCAAGGTGGTGAAGTCCCACAGGGTCAGGTCCTTGTCCTCAAAGCACAGGACAACCAGGTGGGATGCAGAGTGCTAGCAGTGAGCGAGAGAGGAACACTTCCCCCTGCCTCCCAGTTCACTGGCCCTTTTGCCAAGGGTGTGAAATGCCACTGCACCCAGTGATAGCTGCTGTCAGCCCTGACACTGCCATATTACCTGTCCCCACATAAAACTCGTGGGTGTAAGCAGCAAAGAAGTGCTGGTCCAGGCAGTGAGGAGAATCATGCATCTTGTAGACGTGCAGTCAGAAGCTAATAGAATGGACTACATTTTTCTTGAGTAATTTGCCATTTTTCCAGAAACTAATTGCTTAAATGCTTCCAGATGTAAAATATTTGTCCACTCCGGGGCACTCCTACAACTAAACCATGCATTGTGTCACCAGGCTTCTGTTACATAAAGTGGAGTGGCTTGTGCAAGACAGTCCCTCTGGAAAGCATTCTTCCATATCTATGACTATTTTTCTGTCCCTCCAATAGTTCCTCTGCTTCACGCTCTCAAGTAGCAGCTGTTGTCTTTCCTTAATAACTATGACTTAAATGCAATGCTGTGTTGAAAAGACCCAGCAACAGTCCAATGCCTCCACCAAGCCACTCCTTGGATTTTTTACAGTTGCCTCGTTCTCCTAAATGAGTACCTACCTCCCTCTCTTCTCTCCCACTCTACCCTTTTTCTCATTCTCGCCCTCATCTTTGGAAATTCTGTTGTTCTTGCATGAAGTCCCCTAACTCAGCTTACTCCATTCCCCAAGGTAGCAGAAGATATTTTGCAAACTTCCTTTTTATGTCAGGGGAATTCAGCTGCTAGCAAGCAAGACGCTCACACTCCACATGCAACTCATTTCTTCATGTGCTGCCCAGAAGAGACCATGATCTCCTCTTCATATTTATTTAGAAACAATACATTAGTTCCTACAGAACAGCACTGGCAATACAGATTTGTTATCTCACTGCCATGCATCAGGATTTTAAGACTTATTTTGGCTTAAGCCTTGAGCCAGCAAGATGTAACGCCAAAAAGAACAAGTAACAAAATCTCTGTTGTGAATTTCAACAGTGAAATGACACAACTGAGTACACTGAGAAACATACTGTAACAATGTAAAATTGTAAAAGGATGTCAGGATCTAATACAAAAATATCAGCACCTCTGTCCTGAGGGCATTTCAGTCAGAAAGATATTGGGCCCTAAGCAGAGACCTTCTATCTGAATCCTACAGTACAGCAAATATAAATATGAGGCAGCCCTGAACAAAACCCCATTATAGAAATTCATCATCATCGCAGCCCTCACTTTAGAACTTGGCAATGGAGGATGCCAATTTAGAGGGGATCAGCATGAAATAAATTCTAGCTATTAAAGATTCTGGACTTGTTCCCAGTTTTGCATTTAGTAGTCAAAGAAAACAACATGTATTGAAAAACAATGTCCATACACTCTGGTGTGCATGTACAGAATGCCTCCTTAGAAACCCTGCCTTGACCACCAAGCAACTTGTGAAATCCTGTACACATGAAAGGCAGCCACATTAATCAAAGAAGGAACACATATGTATTGATGTATTTACAAACTGTACATGTATTCACAAATGTGAAGGCAAGAAGCAATATAAGTTTTTATTTATCTTCAAAATGTGCAGGAAGAATACACTTAGATTCAAAGCTGTGCTGTTGATGTTTCCCACTCTGAATTGCCTAGCAAAGAATGCTGAACAACAGATGCTGTTAAGAATAATGGGCCGTGCATTAAAGAAAAAGCAAGGAAACAAGACAAGCTGAACATTGTGGTTAGCAATTTCAGTAACACGGAAGTTTAGCCTTTTCTATAATAATCACATATAAGAAGGAACCAAGGAGCTCTGGAATATTAAATACTAATCAATCAAGGAGGAGGAAAAGAAAACAACAGAAGTATCAAATCTATGTAATTCCTTGTAGACATCCATAATTCTAGAACAGAGACTACTGTGAAAATTGATCAAAAGAAAAAAAACTGATAAACAAATATACACAAATCCAGTGCTCTCTTCCCCAACAGGAGAGCTACCCACAGGTACCTCCGGTCAGAAATTCCTTTAGCCTTCACTCTATAGCTATATAAGGGCTTCTGTCTGCATCCTTCTCTCTTTCTGATAAGGAAGGATAAGAGTTTCCAAAGTCCTGTTTCCAAATGGAAATGACAAAGCCTGTCACCTAAGATGGAAGACGGATATCCTGAAAGGCAACAGACTGGAACTGCTGCTCCAAACCGCAGTCTCTGGATCAGACGCTGGGCTTTTTTTTCCTCCTCCTTTTTAATATTTAGACTTAGGTTTTTTCCTGAGAAGATAGAGAAAATCCTAGCAGTCTGAACAACCCTAATTCCTTATTGTGTGTTATGTTCCCTGACATACATGTGAAATGTATACAACTTGCTTAATTCAGGGCTTTCTCCTATGCAACAGCTCCTTTTTCTTCCTATCTAATGCAGCAGTGAAGTCATGAACACTAAACCTGCGTTATCACAGTAATTTCCACAGCAACAGAATGATTACAAGCTTTAAAATGGAGAGAAATTGTTGAAGAAAACCTCCTCTCAAACACTGAGAATGATGAGAACAATCTAGAGAGATTACTATGAAAACTTAAAGCTATACAGTAAGCTTCAGAATTGCTAGGAGATCTGCAGGCACTTCTTGAGGAACAGCAGGACTGAAGAAGGGAAAGAAGAGAGCAGAGTGAGGACAGCAAGTGATCCAAGATCAGTCTGACCTCAAATTAATAAGGACGTCTTAGCCCAAAGCATTAGGAATACTAAAAGAAGTAGTTAATTAGAAAAAGCTGCTTAGAAGACTCATTATTAGCTAAGGAATAGAGTCTTTAAAATATCTGGCAGATACATTATTCTTGAGTTTTACAGCCTACCGCAGCAAGGAGCTCACACAGAATTAAAGACACATGAACACATAGAAGGAAGGACATCTGCAGTAAGTGGGGAACACAATGGAGGCAGGGAACCAAAAGCACTGCAGAAGATCTCCAAGAACATGAACTGCTAAAGAGGAGTGTGCTTCGTTCTTCCACCGATTTGTGATACTGTTGTGCTTTCTATTATTTACTACAGCGGGAATATGCAATTACTAAGTTCTGCAAGAGCTTTGCTCTGTGCTATTAGAGAGGCCCTGGAGGAAGGGAGGGGACATAAAGGTGCACAGTGCTGATGTTTTCTCACCGCAGAGCGAAGCAGAGGTGGCTGAGGTGACAGAACCCAGGCTGATGAGTTCACCCAGGGCAGCTGTGATAGTCTGGCAAAGTTCCTGCCAACTGGAAGAGGGGGAACATAACCCTCATTTTTAAGAAGGGTAAAAAGGAAGACCCAGGGAACTACAGGCCGGTCAGTCTCACCTCCGTGCCTGGCAAGATTATGGAGCAGACCTTCCTGGAGACTATGCTCAGGCACATGGAAGATAAGGAGGTGATTGGTGACAGCCAACGTGGCTTCACTAGGGGCAAATCATGCCTGACAAACTTGGTGGCCTTTTCTGATGGGGTTACAGTGTTGGTGGACACAGGAAGGGCAGCTGACATCATCTACCTGGAC